TTAGTAAAACCTTTTTAAGAACCTGAGAGTCTAGGGCTACATAAGATCTGCGTACTACACAAACTAGAGGTATTGAGCCAATTTAGGCAGTAAATGTGGACGTGTCAAAATACCCTCTAGGTAGGCTAAATATGAAGACTTAAACATTGTCTATCAGCCACCAGGCTAACGGATCCAGGCCCAACACGTTCGGCATCAAAGGGTTGATCGAGACCTAGGATTCATATTCCAGTCGAGGGGACCCAGGCGTGGTGCGCGAAATAATTAAGTCATCTAGAGGCCTTGACAAAAAAGGGATCTGTTGGTAGGTCATCGAATGCATGCCCCGACTAGTGATTGCATTCTAGCAAAGCTCATCTTCAATTGGTGAGGAGCTCATGGGCTGGAAACCAGCCCAAATTCTCTTAATGAAAGGCATCCACCTCATGTGTCACACCTATGGCGGGCATATATCCCCACGCCATGTGCAGCCCCTACCCAAGCAGAGGACACTAAATCGATGGTATGCCGACTAAACAGGATCAGATAATAATCATATGCGAGCAAGATGCTGAGACCTCTACATATGCTTAGCAGGTGCAGGCTGGGATCAAGTATAGCAAATACACAATGGGAGAATAAATATTCTTAACTAAGGAGTCCAGTGATCGTCATCGGCATTGAGAAAGCGCTTAATAAACGAGATATCAAGCGAAATAATGCGTAAAAGTCGGGATGAATGAAAGATTGAGATATTTTTTAAATAACATTAATTATTTAGTTATTAGGTAAAAGTAAATTCAGGCAGGCTACAAAAAGCCAAATCAGAAAGCGAAAATCGACGAGCACGGTGCATTATAGCAGGGATAAAGAGGTGATATCATGATGAAAGCAAATTCCTGACCCAATTATTCAATGCAATACAAGAAACAGGATCTAAAATCTAGGGCTTGTGTATACCGGTAGTATACTGAGGATGTGACCAATCAGCTACAGGAAGCCCAACAAGGCCATAATATTTCGCCGACGTTCTATTGAAAACTGGAAGCACTTCATCAGCCTCTGCTGCATGCCTCTTAAGGTAAACAAGAGCATCAGTTCCGTAGCCCTCTACGCTGGCCAGATTAAGATGGCCATTGAAATATTTAGCATAAAGACGGCTGATAGGAAGTCCATAGCCGTAGCCGGCCAGTGGCGCGTTTCCACCTGAATTGGTCGGAGCAACAGAAGATTCAGATCTTTCACGTTGCCCACGAGCAGTTGTGTAGGTGTATTGGAAGACCAAATCCATGTCAGATCTAGAGATTCCTCCTCCCTGATCGCTGATCTGCAAGAATATTAGAAATTTAATGAAGTTTAGCAAGATTAGTATCAGAGCTCGTGCCAAATTTAAAAATTCTAAGAAAGCGATTTTCAGATGTAGAATCGGACAATGGCTGTGAAATTTTTTTTCGATGGCAACTACAAAGCTCATTGAAATAATAAAACAGAATATATGAAGACCAAGATGTTGTGGCCTCTGGTGTGGTCGCAGTCTCTTTGACGAGTTCGTAGCTTGGTGCGGCGAATGGCAAAACTCACTGATGATGC